CAGGCTAGCCCGTTAGCCAGTGAGCCAGGAGCCACTGCAGCAGGCCCATTCTCTGTCTATCCTAAGCAATCCAAGAAAAAAAACAGGGCAGCATGAACCAAAGGAGCCTAATCTCATTACAGCTACTGAGGCCAGGACAAGTCCCCTCTGTCAGGGAAGAACAGTGGCATGCAGGGTGGGGCAGAATGAGAAGTAAGGCTTCTTGTTAAGTAAGGTCTGAGGGACACAGGACAAGGAGCTGTTCCAGGTCTACTCTGATAGGCCAGAAAGGGGAGCATGGCTTCCCTGCCCTTCCCTCACTGACCCAGAGAGTGCCTCAGAGGAACTGAAAACAGCTGAGTCAGCGGCCCCACTCTTCCTGAAAAAGGGAATGGGAGAGGATTTGGCAGCCGGGAGAGGCTTTCAAGAGTCCACGGAAGGCTCTTACCATGAGCAAGGCTTTTGAGAGCAAGACTTAGGTGGATTAGTACCTCCAGCTAACTCCACTCACCTGAGACAGATCTCCCTTCTCCTCAAAGAAGGAACCAACCTGCCCAGGCAAAAGTGCTCATCTCCAGCAACCAGGTCTGTCACTAAGGGAAACAGGAGGCAGGAAGGGTAGGAGTTCCAAAGACTGTGGGGGTCCTGCCACTTCACAAGTCCCACTGAGTGGCCAGTACCCCAGACCTAATGGGAACTAGGATGGACTAGCTGAGCTTCCAGGATGCAGCGAGGGGTTGGCAGTCCAAATCAGCCTCTGGCGGAAAGAGATCTGGTCCTGCATGCTGGATAGGAAGAATGGGGGTGGGGGCACAGCCAGGGGACTCACCCGATGTCATCTCGGTAGACCCGGGAGATGAGCACCTCCCCCTTGTGATTATAGATGAATAAGCCTCCAATCATGGCGGCAGCTCAGTCTCCGCGGCCCATCGCTCCGAGAACAGACCTAGGACAGATGGGGGCAGGGTAAGGGAACGCTTCAGAACCCCAGCCAACATCTCCTGTGGGGCTGTGCAGGTCACTCTGGCTGGGCTTTTTTCCTGATTCAACCCTCCAGCAAGTGACCCTGCAGCCTTCCAGGCATGCCCCTCCCCTTAGCCAGTCTCTAGTTCCTGTTTATCCCACGCTGGAAGGGAGAAAGGGAGAGGGACTTAGGCCAAGGATTCTAAGGCCATTTTGACCCTCCCTTTTCTGGGGCTGAGCCCAGAGTAGCCCCCTCCCCCTTTCACAATGCTGAGCTCAGCAAGGCCCCTTCCTGTGCAGACTCACTCAGGCTCTAGCTGGTGAGTCACTGTGAAGGCCTGCCTGTGGCTGCAGGAATGGCGGTAGGAATTACTCCAGTTGGTTCAGGCCTGGGGCCCCCAGGCAAAGCTTTAGAAGCACCCAGTCTCTCAGGCTCCACTACCCTTCTGAGAAGACTGCAGAGCTTGAACCTCCGGCTCTCTAATTCACAGAAGTCTAAACATTCCAGGAAAAGGGTGTGCAGGGTGTGAGGAGGAGCGAAGGGCCTTAGGCCTTGACATGGACGCATGAGTGTGGCTCCAGCCTCTCCCAGGCAGTCAGATAAACAGGCAAAAGAATCAAGTAGAAAGGCCCCAGCCCTGACAGTCACTTCAATGACCCAGGCTACTTATCTGTTATTTTTGACCACCTTTTGAAAAGGAAAGCTCCCTCTAAGCTCCTAAGTTAAATAAAAATATAGGCTTTTTTGGGGGGGTGGGCAGTGAGGTGTGCAGGTTCATAAAGTTAAGAGATCCTTCCAGCTGAAATTCTGTAACTCCAGACCCACAATATAATTCACTTCTGATCTGAGTGCTTGTAAGTAAGAGGCAAAATGCCTGAATTATCCAAATTACTTGGGTCAAACTAATTTGTTCAGCAGACTTTTCTAAACTAGAAAATAAAAGCTATGACCGTGGCTGTCAAGGTCTCCCAGACTGAGTGAGAGGTCTTTCAAAGTAGTGGACACATCTCATTCCTCAGTCCCAAAGAGACTGGGAGAGGAAGAGCAAAATGGAGGTAAAGAACCAAGTTCACAGGTATCAAGTCGTAGGCAGCTCAGGCACCGGAGAAGCAGAGGTGGGGCGCAGGACAGGAATGAAATATTTAGTTAAGGGATAGACTGGCAGCAACAGCCAGGCAGTATACTCAGATGAGCCCACAGCAGTAACAAGGCTGGTGGGGGAGCCTGGAGAAAAGAACTTCCAGTATGGCAAAGGTCAAGGCTTTGAAGAGGAAAAATGGCAGGGAGAGATTGGCAGTGGTGAATAAGGGCAAGCTGGGGAGACGGAGGCTGCTTTGGGGTTCGGGTGTAGAGGCATGAAGAGGTGGTGGGCTTCTCGCCCTGGGAAGGGAAGACATCATCGTGGGAAAAGATGGTTCCAAGGGGTACGGGGACTGTCACCGTCTGAGGAAGAAGAGCCTCGGGGTGTTACTCAACTGCGAGGGGGTGCCTCAGGGTGGGGAGCTTGTGACAGTCCAAGAAGGCGGCACATGGGGGTGTCACTGTCCTAGGGGATGGGGGAATTGTCCTTGTCCCGAGAGAAGGAGGCCCCGAGGGGTAGGGGGTTGTCACGATCCCAGATAGTGGGGAGCTGCGCGGCGTCCTTGCTCTAGGAGGATTCCAGTAGGTCTTTCTCTCATGGGAGGCTCCGGGCGGGTCAGGCTGAGGGCACTGCTCCCCGCCCGTTCTGCAACCGCGCCCCAGGCGCCCCCACCCCGCCGTCAGCTCCCTCCCGGATCTGAAGGCTAAGGCCACTCCTGGGCGTGGGCAGCTTTCCGCGTAGAGCAGTGCAGGGAAGAGCAAAGCTGGGCAGCGGGGCAGGCCGTCCTCCCTCACCCGGTAAGGCCAGATCCCGAGCTCACCTGGTGTCCGCGGCCCTCTGCACGGCCCGCCCGGCCACTCTCCGGATCCCAAGATGTCCGCCCGCCCCCTGCTCGCCTGCCCGCTGTCTCGGCTTTCACTGCAGTGCCGCGGCTCCGCCCTAGCCTGGGCTGCGCGTGCGCGTCCGCCTCCGGCGCAGACTACAAATCCCGTCAGGCCCTTCGGCTTTCTCGTTTACACTTTTAAACTGCCTAGATTTAGCAAAACTACAACTACCGATGGCCTTTGAGAACTTTCGAAGGAATGGGTAGTAGTGCCTCGTGGGGAGGTAGGAGTGACTTTATCCAGCCCTTCCCGAAATACACAATCCAGGATATGCTGTTCCACTCATTTCATCTTACCTATTTAGCATTCTGGGAATTGTAGTCTCTGAAATCCCTCCTGTTCCTCTTTCAGTGTTTCTGAGAGCCTCAGAGGATTAGTGCCATTTGTTGAAGCCCATCTGTTAAGCTTTGGATTGTTGTAGGGCTCCGGAGTCCGAGCACTGGTTGTCCTCACTTTACACACAAGTACGACTTGGCAGTAGAAGTGTTTGTGCTGAATTTTCTGCTTTGTAACACCATCTCTGAGTCTCCCAAGTTTTTGCATTATATATTTGGTCCAGATATGAAAGTTTTTCTAGGGATCAAGACCCAAGGTAGGGGGCAGGGAGTGAGGAAGCAAATATTTAGAAGAAACTAGCTAAAGCTTTTCAAGAATATGTCTGTTTTACCTCAGTATACCTATGTAAATATGAGCTCCTCAAGGCCAGGACCTGTACACCTTCTAGTGACAGGCATATATGTTGCTTAGAAAACTGTTGGGAAGTTGAATTTAACTGGACATGGGATTTGAAGTCCTTCTCTGATGACAGAGTTAAACTTCACATCCAAGCTGAGGAGACAGAGCCAACCCTGGTACGTGAAAGGCCTGCCTGGCTCTTGCAGGACCTGAAGAAAATCTGTTGGCTCTTCTCTTTCTGTAGGGAGAGTACCCTGCTGCCTTCTCTATGCAGGGCTGAGCCCACCATGGAAGAAGAGAGGGCAAGAAAGGGCAAATCTACTTGCAAACCTTATTGTCCCTAGCACCCTCCTGCTAGAAGCCAGAATATGGCAGGATGAAGATCTGGCTTCCCTCAAATTGTGGTTACATCCTTAAGCTATTAAGTGATTGAATACAGGCACTTCTAATCCTTGAAGCAGCACTCAAGGTTTCACTCCCACCTTTCCAAAAGCTTTGTCCTCAATACACACCCTAAACCCCTACTAATTTAGAGTAAATAATAATAATGATGGTGGTAATAATAACAATAGCTACCATTTATTGAGCACCTATTCTACTGTGTGCCAGGCACTGTGCTAGGCACTTTTCGTACAATATCTAATTTTAATCCTCACAACAACCCTGTGAGGTAGGTATTATTATCGTCATTTTGACATATGAGGAAACTGAGGCTCAGAGAGGTTAAATAACTCTCCTATCACGCGACCAAAAGTATAGCTGGGATTCAAACCCAAAACAACCTGACTCCAAATCCCATGCTCCTGTGAACTAGAGTAGAGGCAGAGGGGAGAGGAAGGGCCAAACTTAAGAAAGACTGTTGGAGTGAAATGGATATGATATACTGACTAGTAAGATATGGGGAGGAATTTAAGCCCATGAATGTTTCTAGTTGGTGAGCCTATGCAGAGTGTGAAGGTAACCAGAATTGGAATGCAGGAGGAACACACTTGGTCGGGGAAATGAGTTGAGTCCATATGGACATGTCTATGGAGATGTCCAGTGGGTAAAAATACAGATCTAAAGATAGAGGGAAGTTAGAGCTGGAGATATATATTTGGGAATCACAGCATATATCAGTGGCAGTTGAAGACATCAGTGTGGGTGACACCATTTTGGGAGTAAAGAGAGAGGAAAGAGTAGTGGACCAAGGATAGAATACAGGGACCCTGAAGGCATGAGCGATAGTGGAGGAATCCTCACGAGAGTCAGATACGGCAGAATCAGAGGAGGAAGGGAAGTACAGGAGGCAGCCCTAAAGTGGTGGCTAGAGGAAACCATGGTCTGGGTTGGGAGCAAACCTAGAACTCCCAGAAGGTAAGCAAGATTGAATTACACTTCTAACACAGACCTCATGCACCAAAAACCCCAGGGAATATTAAATCAATGAATGCCAAAATGCCCCTATCCCGCTTTGCCCCAAAGCCTGAAGCTTAAGACTTCATCTTACTCTTGACACTCCAGTCCTATGTGTATGGAAGTCTAGGTGAGCCAGAATTTACAGAAGAGGCTTATAGAGAAAGTCATGATCTGCTTAAAGGAGAGAATAAGATAAAAACAAAACTTGGCATTCTGTCTGGAAGTCCCAGAAGTCCCCCTGCCCAACCTCGCTCTGGGTTATCATGGTGATTGTGAAAATGGGGAAAGGTGTGGGGGGTGGGGGCAGGATGAGAACAGTTGCCTGGGGAAATCCTGTGCTAAGCCCAACCTGAGACCCAGCTTATGGGCTTTATCCAGATAGGAAGACATGTGTGGAAGGTTTGAGGGCTATGAGGAAAGTGATAGAAGTCAGGGGACCAGCCCCACAACCTCTTGGGAGATGACTAGGAGAGAGGGTCCAGCCCTCTGGTCAGGGACCGGCCCTTAGGCTTAAGTGAACTTGCATAGGTGTGTGTGTGTAGAAGACAGAGAGTCTGTGTGTTAGCTCTCTGGGGGGAAGGGGAACAGAGTCTTTCACACATGGGTCAGAGGCTGGAGCACTCCCCGGAAGCCTAGTGACTCAACATGTGTTGATTGTGGGGTGTGGGGGCTGAATATCCTTGGGAAGTTCTGAGGGGCTGCTGAAGCAGGGCTCCTGGTCTCCTCGGAGGCTGGGCCTCCCCTCGCAGAGTAGGGGGCTCACAGAAAGTCGAACAGCCCGAAATTCTTGGCTGCTCCAGGCCCAGGAAAAATTGGGGGAGGAAAAAAGAAAGAAAAGAAATGTTTCAGGCTCAGAAGTGAGATGAGCCTGCTGGTTAGTAGGTTAGGGGTCTGAAGGAACCAGCACACAAAGCAGGCATGGGAGGGGAGGGAGAGGTATGGGCATAGAGTAGAGAGGTTCTCTGGAATCCACTAGCAGCTCAGGCAACCGAGGGGGTCCCCTGGGCTTCTGCTAAGGCCGAACACAGGCAAGGTTAATGTGGATGGTTACTGGAGGAGACTACACCTCTAGGGGTCAAGACTGAGGCAGCAAGCCAGGGACAGTTAGGAGTAGGGGCAGATGAAGCAAGTCTGTTTTTTGTGTCAGTATGAAAGGGGAAAAGTCAAGAGATGGCACACATGCTTGAGGCGATGCCATTAATAGAGGGATGATGCAGATGATGCACCTGGAATGAATGGTGATAAGGAACTGAGGGTGAGGGAAGGAGGGGGGAAAGCGGGGTTTAGGGGTCTGCAGGCACTCAAGGGCACTGATGGGGTCAATTCCTTAAGTATGTATATGTTGTTGTAGGGAGAGGGAGATAGAAGGGAGAGGAGTAAGGAGCAGCACCAGCAAGTCGGGTCGCTGGGACATGAAGGATCCTAGGAAGTCCTGCGCAGCGGTTAGTGGGCAGAGGGACAAGCTGGGGCGGTGGCAGGTTAAGGGCTGCAGTGGGGATCAGTGAGTGCACCCCTCCCTGGCTGCACCCAGCGAGCAGTTAGCGCGCCTGGATTTAGTTCCGTTTATTTCCCTTTCAGGTATCAAAGTAAAAAAGACGGACGGAGAGAGGGACGCAGCCGGCCCAGGGCGGGGTGGGATGGAAGTGGGGGAGGGGCCCTGCTCACATCACATCCACAAAGAACTCACTGGGGTTTCCCATGGCCATGCGGAAGGACTGTCTGCTGGCGGTCAGTTCAGGGGGTACGGAGGCCAGGTCGCGGCCAGGAGGGGCTCCCGGGGGGCCCCATGGCCGCGGGCGGTGGGGGCATCATCAGCATGGGGGGGCCGTAGAGAGGGGGCACTCCAGGGGGGCCATAGCTCGGATGCGTGTGATGGCTGCGCAGGCTGCTGGCCAGCGAGTGGTGGCTGCGGTGGCTGTGCTCGCTGGCGGCAGGACCCGAGCGCTCGCTGGGTGCCCGCTCCCGCGGCCCCCGCAGACTGCTGCGGGTCGTGTGGTCCGACTCGCTGCCGCTGCCGCCGGACTTCGAGTCCCCGGCTTCGCGTCCTTCTCCTTCCGCCGGTCGCTGCCGCTGCGGTTGGAGCCACTGCTCCGGCTGCCTGTAGGGGACGGGCAGGGATGGGGTGGGGGACACTCAGGAGCTTGCAGAGAAACACGGGTCTCGCCTGTGGCCCCCTCCACGGCCCCCGCTGCCTTACCTTCACTGTGCTGACTGCTGGCGCTGCCCCCGCCATAGCTGTACCCCAGCTCCGGGAAACCTGGGTGTGGATTGTAGGGGTGCGGGGGAGGCGGGTACTGGTAAGGAAAAGCCATGGGCCAAGGGGCGGCCCCCGGATGCGGCAGAGGGGCCAGTGTATCCTGATCAGAGGCACCGCTGGAGCCATCATGATCGTGGAGGGAGAGGTTGGCCATGTCTGTAGAGGGGAGGAGAGGGCGAACAAGCTGGGTCAGCAGAGATGTCCCCAGCCTAGGGTGGTTGAGAGCATTTGGGAAGACAGCGACAGCAGTGACAGTGTCTTGCAGGAAGGGGAGGAGGCCAGGCCAGAGACCTCTCACTCCATCAGACTCCCTCTGCCACCCACCAGAGGTGGTGGGAGGGAGTCCCTGAAGAGCCAGCACCAAAGAAAATCATCCCCAGGAAGGCCCTGAGTCACCATTTCAGATGCTGAGGGCCAAATTCCAGTTCCCTGGAGGCCCACTACCAAGCTTTTGGCAGTTTCTCCTCCTTCCTCAGTGGACTGGAAGAAGGGTCAAAACTTGCATTTGGCAATTTTCTCCTCTGTTCACTTAGAGGGTAAAAGGGAGGGAGGGAATGTGGGAGGCTGAAATACCAGACAGACACCAGGTACTGCATACCTGCAATTCATCTCATGCAAACGTTACCACAACTCTATGAGGAAGGTATTAGTCACATTTTTTCCAGATGAGGAAAGTGAAGTCCAGATAGGTTAAATGACCATCCCAAACTACAGCCAGAGCAGAAGTGAAGAGTTGCTTATATTCTCTCTCCTTGACTTTCTAGATGCCATTACTAAGGACTAGGGAGCAGTTTAGGGAAATTTAGGTGAAATTTTGCCCTCCCTACTCACTTAGGACTAAAAAAATACCATTAAAAGTCAGAATAAACATACAGCTTTTCAGAGCCTCCCCAAACAGAAGGCCCTTGGCCCAGATCAATTTTCTGGTGCTGCTGGGGAGGGTGGGAGTGGGGTGGAAGGGTCCAGAAACAGAACAACTTAGATGCCTTCTCTGTGCTCTCCACCCCATTCCCAGCCAGGTCTGATTCTTCTCAGCACTTGAGTCACTGTATTAACATTACTTCTTTCATGACTCTCGCTCCCCCCCCATAAATTGTGCATAGGTTCCCACCAGTGCTGGAACTACCTGGAAGAACTGCTTGGGACACCCCTTGCTCACACCCCATCTTACCAGGTCTCAAGGCTCTGAGAGAGCTGTAATTGCTCTAGGAGCCAGCTGCCAGATACAGACTGAGCCCTTTGTTCCAAGGTCTTTAGGGAGCTGGCCCAAACTTACAGGGGAGAAGAGGCCAGAAGAGAGGACTGCAGCAGCCTATGGAGTCTACCAGCCAAACTATCAACCTGTCAAGGCTGGCAGCTAGCATGAGGGGTGGTATATGGGAAGCAGGGGCCTGCCTTGGTTCATGCCCAAAGAGCTGGTGACAGCTGCCAGGCTGTCGTCCCAAGGGGAGTGACTGTGTGCTTCTGGGGCTACCCAGGTCCCCAGCTCCTCCCTTTGAGCCTGCCATACTCCCAGCTGAGGAGACCTCAGGCAGTGAGAGGGAAAAGGTCCGTTCTGTCAGCATCTCCCTGAGCTGGGCCTCCGGTGGACTTGGTCCAAGGGTAGAATACCCAGAAGGCCCCTGGGAGGGAACAATGTCTCTTGAGCAAAAGTCACAGCTATCCTGAGAAGCTTTAGGTACCCCTGAAGGTTTGGGGCCAGGGTCAACTTCTGCTAATAATGATAATAATAACTACATTAGATTGAGTCTAAGAAGCCACTGATTATAAGATACACTCCAATTTCATAGATACTGAAATGTGAAAAAAATGTTCATCTTAAAATCAACTAAATGTATTATAAATGTATTATAAATCAACTAAATGTAATATAAACATTTTTAGAGCCCTTCCTATGGGCCAAAAATGGTGCTAAAAGCTTTATATACATTATCTTATATCATCTTCAAAACAGCTCTCTATGAGACAGGTTCTTACTAATACCTCCATCTTACAGATAGAGAAAATGAGGCACTGAGAGGCTGTGTCACTTCCTCACATTCACACAGTAAGGGTGGAGCTAAAATTTGAACTAAAAACTGTCTAACTCCATACCCTATGCATCTATCACTACTGTATGCGGCCATGCCAAAGCTGCTGAGGCCCAGGGACCGCACCTTCCCTCAGGGACTTGTGCTCTGCAGAAATAGTCTTTCTAGTCCCTAGAACCTAATATGAAGCATTTTAAGAGTTAGCTTTTGGACTCTACCACTGGGCTGAGAGAAGGCTCCCTCATGCAGAGGTGGCTGTTGGGGCTGGGCTTCAGCTCCCAGTCCTGAGCACTGTTGTCCTGTCTGTTTTGAGGACTCACCTTCCCAAGGGCTGTCCTCAGGCTCAGGAGAAGGGGGTTCTCTGCAGACCTCTCCTACTTAATAACCCTTACTGGCTTTGTACTCTCTCAGGATCAAGTCCAAACTCCTTGGTACAGCTTACAAAGTCCTCTACAACCTGGCCTTGATAGCTTCTCCAGCTTCATCCCAAGGTTCAACCCACCCTCAGGGGTCCTCAGACCCCTGTGGACTTGGGGCCTCAGGCCAGCCCCAGGTCCTGCCTTGGTGGAACCCACTTGGTGCTGGGAGGGTGAACAGGGGCCAAGGCTAGGAACTCTGGCCTTGCTGAGACAATGTTTCTGCAGCATCACACACCTAGGGCAGCCCCAGACGGTGGGAGACAAAAAGGCTCTGGAGCCAGAAAGTCCTAGATCCAAAGCCCAGCTCCTCTGCCTCTAGTGCAAAACCTGGGGTGGACTACTTCTACAAGTCTCAGTTTCCTCATCTGAAAATAAGCATAGTAATCCATCTCCCCAAGGATTGTGGGGGACGTTGTGAGGATTCAGTGAGAGAGTAAGATGATGCTTTAGAAACCATCAGCATGGTGCCAGGCACAGAGCAGGCGCTCAGAAAAATGCCAGCCCCAAGGCGGGGGGTGCACGCCAGGTGAAGAGGCCGGACTGGGCTCTGCTTCTACCACAGAACTCTCAGGTCTTGAGGTTCCCCTAGTTCTGCTGCCCCCCCATCTGGGTTCCCTGGAGTCCACTGCCACATCCCTAGGTACCTCCCCACTCCCAGCCAGGAGACAGGGCAAGGAGATGGGAGAGGAACGCACTGCCACAGAGGTCGCCAAAGATGTAGTAGCACTGCTCGGAGAAGGTGATCTTGTTGACAGTGTGGCGGATGAAACCAGCTTTCAGCAGGTTGCTGGCATACTTGCGGGCCTCTCGCCGGTCAGTGAAGCCTTCGACGTTGTGGTACAGCCAGTCCACCACATCTGAGCCTGGGAGCAAGGCCACCACTTTATTGGAAGGCCCAGCTGACTTGGGCTCACCTGGCCTCACAGAAACTATGAGGCTGGTTCCAGCTCAAAGGAGTGGCCCAAGGGAGTTCTTGGACCTCTGGCTTGCTCTGCCCCACCACTCTCCACCCCATCCTTCATCCCACCATGGGATCCTCTCACCGATGAAAGCGTTGGGGATAGTAATCTTGAGCCACATGCGGTCACGGACCTCCAGCCCGGATTCAGGGGAGGCCATGGCTTTTACGATGGCGGCCATGTCACTGTGGATGGACAGGTGGAAGTCATCTAGGCCTGGGGGTAGGAGGCAGAATGGGGCTATGGAGTAAGGTACACAGGAGTTTACATTCCAGCTCTACCACCTAATAATAGGGACCAATGTTGGACAAATTACCAACTTCTTGGACACTCAGTTTCCCCTTCTATAAAAATAGGAACTTTAATATCAATTTTACAAGGACATCTGAAGAGAGAATTAAATAATGTAAATGAAGGTACTTAGCACAGTGTATAATGCGTCCTATTATAATAAAAAGGCAGTCATTTATTGAATGCTTACTTTATGCCACACACTGTGATTGATGCTTTACTTGTCATCTCTCATTAAACCCCCAGGAACCTGGTAAAGTGCATATCATTATTCCCATTTTACAAGAGGAAACTGAGGCTCACTGGGTGCTCAGTACACGTTCAGAAGCAAACTCTTTTTAGTGAGGGTTGGTGTCCACTGAGGGAAGCTGCAGAGTGAGGTAGCTGGAATGAACTGAGTCCCCTCTCCAGCCCCCTCTGACACTCAAGCAAGAGTCTCCACGTGGGCCTTCATCAGTCCCTCCCAGCTGGCGCTGTCTCTGGGCCCAGGGGACAGGGTTGGACACTCACGCTCTGTGTCAGGGATGGAGCTGGTGATGGAAGAGCTGGTGGAGGTGATGGTGCTCAGGGAAGGGCTCATGCCATAGGCAGGGAAGGTGCCAGTCATGGCTGCAGTATGGGAGACCCAGGCTGCGGGGTCAATGGGCCGGATGGGCTCACCTGCAGGGAGGATGAGGAGTCAGGGGCTGCCCACCCTGCCCACTGCTGGGCCCAACAGGATAGGTGTGAGGGTTCAGGGTAACACAGAGGAAGGAGAGACAGGGCTCATGTATGTCAAACATCAGCTTTAGGGCAAGTGCCCCATCCACTTACTCCTGGGTAATGTGAAGCAACCACGTGGACTTGGGTCCCAGCACTTGGCTACAGTCAAGGTGATGGGCCTGAAAGCACGGGTGTCCCTAGTGAGGGCAGGATGTGTGGAGGCCAAACCAAGCCCCTTGCCTAATAGCCAGGAATGCCTGCCCCCTCCTCCTCAGTGCCCCATGCCAGCCATACCCTGGTTTGTGCACAATCTCCCGCAGTACCCGGACCGCATCGTCATTACTCATGTTCTCAAAGTTGATCTCATTTACCTGGGAAAGAGGACCAGAGATGAGATGAGCAGCGGTGTAGGGGAGGTGGGTAGGGAAGCTGAACTTGGTGGGCCAGGAGGTCTTCCCCTACTAAGAATCAGGGTACAGAAGGCATGGACCCCATCCCTGTCCACACCCCTCCCCCACGGTGGGCAATGGTACCTGTAGGAGCATATCTCCTGGCTCGATGCGTCCATCAGCAGCCACGGCCCCACCCTTCATGATAGAGCCAATGTAGATGCCTCCGTCACCACGCTCGTTGCTTTGGCCCACAATGGAGATGCCCAAGAAGTTATACTTTTCTACAGGTAGTAATAAGACCTTGAGAGGGGAGCAAGGTTCCTACCCAAATTCCAAGCCCCTCATTAGAAAAGCGTAGAAAGGGACAAAAATGAACAGTTATTAAACCCAAATCAGGCACTGTATTTGGCATGCTCAAATATGCCTTCATTTAATCCTTTTTGGCTGTGAGGTAGGGACTCATGCTCAGTTTACAGAGCAGGCAACTGAGGTTCAGAGAATTTAAGTGACTTTTCTAAGTCATGAAGTGGCAGAGCCAAGATTAAAACTCAGACTTAAATTCCAAAGTTGGGACTCTTTTCACTATATCCAGCTATCTCCTAAAGAAGAACACCTAGGGCAGAAATCAGACAAGAAGAATTCAATGGCTGAAAAATGGGCGTGGGAGGAGGAATCACTTCATCTAGGAAGCCTTCCTGGATGTCATTCTCTGCTTCCACAGTTCTCTGTGCTTCTCTCTCATAGCCCTGATCATGAGATACTGAAATGACTGGTTTATATACCAGTTTATGCTTACGAAAGACAGCTCCTTGAGGGCAGGGGACATATCTTGTGCCTCTCAGTGTCTGGCATGTTGCAGGGGCTCAAGAGTGATGTTTCACCAGACTCACCCATGTTGAGAGTGACTGTGATGATGTTGAGTGACATGGTGGAGTCCGTGATGCTGCTGAAGGACGAGGACTAGAAGAAACAGAGGCCCTGAGCAGCAGGCAAGGGTGGCAGGACCTTGCTGCTCCCACCTAGCTCCTCATCGAGGTGAGCCCTCAGTACCACCTCCCCTCTAAGGTTCCAAACCATGACCCAAGGGGAGGGATCTAAGGAGGCACAAACCCTGGCCCTGCCTGGGCAGGAGGGCTTGGTCTCCCCCACCCACCCTAGCATCTCAGCCCCGTACCCGCTCAATCCTCGAAACCTTCTGCTTCCGCCGCCGCCGCTTGTGTCTTCTCATCAGGCGTGAGGCGCTGCTCTGCTCTGTGGAGCTGCTGAACCTGTGGGGCCCACAGTCGTTCCCCACCAGGCTTGCCCAGCCCTGCCCCATAAGAGGCACCACAGGGCCCAGGTCCTCACCACAAAGCCTACATCCCACCCAGGGGCCCAGCGTCCTCAGGGTTCAGGGCTCCTCCAGGGTCACTTGCCCCACAGTATCCATGAAACCAAAGCCCCACCTGCTGGTGGAGTCATCCTCATCCGAATCAAAGAAGCTGGTGGTCTCCAACTCGCTGCTCATAAGGGTGGATGAGCTATCATAACCCCCTGGCTCTCGCCGCCGCTCCCCCTTTGCAGTTCCATTTAGCCGAGTTGCTGCAGGGGATGGAGGCAGCTGGGTTCACAGTGCCCCATGCAGGAGGGAAGGGAGGAGAGGGACGGGCCAGGGGCTGCACTGGGGCCAGGCATATCCAGAGCTCAGGGAGTAGGGCAAAGGGGTGGGTAGCTGAGTGGAAGCTCTGGGGAGGTAATTGGTGGGGAAGGTGTCTGTTCAGGGAAGACGCACTGTGCTCAGGGCCATCCCTCCGGCGTGGCCGCTCCCGCTGGGCAGACACCAGGGAGTCGGTCTCTGTGTCATTGTCCAGGTTCTCCTGGCTGCCCCCACCAGCATGAGGGCTGCAGGGAAGAGATGTCTTCGTGGGGGAGGGGGCAGGCTGGGGGCTCCCTCCCCCAGCCCTGAGCTGAGCTGACGCAGCCCTCTCCCATGGGCCCTCCCCACCCCCAGGTCACACTCACTGGAAGGATGGGGGCCGGGAGTCCCCAATGCCTCCCGTGCGCTCCATGGGTGGTGGCAGTTCTGATGGGTTGTCAGCACAGAAGGGAGCTGGATCTGGGTGTGAGCCCTCAGCCGACACCAGCTGATGGGGACAAAATGGGTGGGTAGAAGAGTGCAGGGGCCCCAGGGAAAAGGGGATAGGCTTCTGGCAGGACACGAAGACTTGGGGAGAATGAAGCAGGGCACATGGAGGGAGAAGAGACAGGACTGTGCAAGGTCAGCTAAGATGAAGAACGGACCCACTGGTGGGCTGATGGGGAGGCCATGAGGCATGGGCTGGGGAAGTTGGATGGAGGCAGAGAGCAAGGGTCAGAGGTCCATGGTAGAAGTCAACAGGTAATAGAAGGGAACCTAAGACAAAGTGCTTCAAAGGACATAGGAGACTTTTTGTCTCCAATGTGTTTCTGTCTTTCCCTTTCCCCATTTCCCACAACCCCTCCCCCTCTCTTCACCAAGGCTACAGACTCTAGGGTGAGAGACAGTTCATTTAGAAAACTCAAGGAAGATTCAAATACTGAAGCAAAAGACCACAGTTTCAGCAATGCCTTTCCTCCATCCAGGCCACTGCAGGAACTCAGGTGGAGGGAGGGCTGAGGGGGGCTCCTTACCCAGGACACCACCCGGCCATTGAAGCAGGGAAGCTTGGCGTTGTCATCCGAGATCTCCTCCTTTACCACTCTGTAGGGAAAGGGGGATGTCAGAGTGAGCTTTCTGGGGTGGAAATGGAGGCATCCTCACAACCCCAACTTCTCAGGGGTTCCTCCACCCTAAACTAGGAACCAAACCACCAGCACCAGCCTGTTCAAATGGGAGCAGGGGTGGGGTGACCCAGGGATGGCTCTTTGTCACCACCAGGAAGACACTAGCCCTGCCCAAGCCACTGCCTTCCTGGGGCATCAGTCATCTCAGTCACCTGCCTCTCAGTCATCAGGTGATTGCAAATCACACCTGACAAATCACTGTCCCCCATGAGTGCAGTTACCCTCTAGAATCTTGAGAGAGCTGCATCCATCCCCAATGTGGCTCTCCTAGGCTGGATTTTATCTTTCCCTCTGTCCCTAAAGTAGGAAAAACCATACCCTTATTACTATCCTCCCCTTTTCAGTTGGGAATCCTGACATTCTTCTTGGAGGTGTGGATGAGAAATTTAAAGAAATTAGGAAAGAGAAGGGGAGAAGGCATTTACTGAACATCCTTCATTGCCATTATGACACTAATTGCCATTATGACAACTGCTCTCATTTATTGAGCACAGATTATGGCCACGCACTAAGTTAAGTTAAGCACTTTACTTCTATTATTTCATTTAATACACGCAGAAATGCAATGAAATAGATACAGATGGGGAAACGAAGGCTCAGTAGGTTCAGAAATTCCCCTATAGTCACATTGTTAATAAGTCAAAAGGCTAGAATTTGAATCCTGGTCACCCTGACTCCAAAGCCTGTATTCTTACCTATTATACTATCTTATCTCCCTAGAGTTAGAATGCATAATCGTCACATCAGCCTCATTGTATAGGCAAATATGATCCTGATTTTATGAATAAGGAAACTGAAAAACATTTTGTCACTTGTCCAAGGTCACTGAGCTAGATGTCAGAGCTGGAATTCAACCCCAAGCTCGTTTGACTCCAAACCCTATATTCTCTCCACGGTATTTCACATTCTATTCTGTACAGTGACGGAGGCAATGAGGGTCTGTGTGGATGGTGGGGGTGCGGGAGAAAGTAATGTGGAGCATGGGGGTGATAGGATGTAGTCTGAGGCATGGAGTTTGGCCTAGGGCATGCAGTGAGGCGACATATCAGACCACAACTATAGCTTGGGGCCAGGAGAGGGAACAGAAAAGTTTGAGGCCCCTCAGACTGCATCAAACACCCTAGGAGCACAAAGCTGGAAAGCCGTGATCAGGGGCAGGAGGAAGACACATGCCTGGAGTTACGAGCAGAGAGGAAAGACAGCAAGGAAGGAGGGTGGGAAGGCCAGTTCCTCCCTTATTCTTGGAGCTGCTCCTGCCCAGAGCTGGGAATGTGCTTGGCTTCTTGTGATGCTCGCATTCTTGGACTCATAGCCAAATTCGAAGGCCAAGCCTGTCCTCCTCCCTCTCATCCAGCTCTGGCTCCTCTGGTTTCCAACCCCCCCAGCGACCCCACGAAAGCAGCTCAAATCATCCTATTCAGGCCCACCATGGCAGAAAGCCTGGAGACAGAACAGGCTGGAAAGAAGGGAAACAGAGATAACTCAGACCCACCAGCCAGTCTGACCACAGGCTACCTCAAGCTTATAGCCCCCATGGGAACTGAGGCAGGGACTGTGACCTGCTTTGGAACACAAGGAACACAAGGCAGGGACTGTGACCTGCTTTGGAGAGGGTCTCCCTGTGGTGAGAAACTGCCGCTGACTCCCCACCACCCAATCCCCACCACACAGCTCGATGCTACAGATGTTTCCCCTATTTCTGGGGGTCACCGACAGGTCGCCAAGGCTCTGCTGACTAACAATGATCAGCTGATCTTCAGCAGCCTTGGGGGACCTCAGACAGGCCTCCTCCTCCCACCATGGAGCTGAATGGCTCAGGGTTCCACAGCACTTATACACTCACACACACACACACACACACATCCACACCCCAAGTGGAATCAGACAAATCTGGGTTTAAATTCCAATTCTGCCACTTATTAGCCCTCCTATTTTAGAGAAGTTTCTTAACTCTTTGTCTCAGCTTGGTAAAGTGGGATTTGTAAATGCCTGGCATGGTCCAGGCATACAATAGAAGCTAGTTACTAACTTTGTCTAATTTTTTTTTGCAAGATCCATACTCTAACTAGGTGTAAGTTTCTAAGTGCAGGGATGAAATAAATCTGCTTATTACTCATTGTTCATTCAGTTAAAAAGCTTTCGTTGAGAGCTAAGTGGGCTTTAAGTTTTGTGTTTGCCACTGCATGGACCTCAAGAAGCATCAGACCTGGAGTCTGCCTTGTCCTTGGAGGTTACTGTCCAGTGCATGGTTCATGTAAGTATACTGCAAGTGGGAAGTGCTCAGAGCTGTAACAGCAGCAGATGTGTTCACTGGACTGACATCTGCTGAGTATTAGTGTCAGGTCATGGCTAGGAGCTGACTAGGTATGAAGATAAATTGGAATAAGTGCCATAACTTTAAAAGTCCAACCCAGAGCAAAGGAGAATTTGGACCTGGGGAAGACAAGGGAAGAGAACTGCTCCAGGTAGAAGGCCCGGAGGCAGGCCAGTGGTGATATGGAGCGGGGAAGCAACATGGGAAGTCGGGTTAGTGGCCCGACTTCCCATATTGTTCCTGCCACAGCTCAAGGCCTCTTTAACAGTGGTACCTTGATCTTCCATCCATCATCTCCTCAGTGTTGAAAATGTTTACTCTTCCGCCATTTCCCAAATACTGTAAGAGGCTTGGGCCTACCATGAACTTGACAAATACTCCTGGAGACCAGATGGGAGTTAGGAGTCCTCAGGCCTTACACACCAGAGGGTGAGCTTGGAGAGCCTGAGGAGACAGCGGCCCCTCTCCTCTGACCCTCTTTCCCATCTGTCAGCAAGGGTCGCTGGCCTCTGCCCGAATCACCTCTCATGGGGCTACTGACAGCCCTATCACCTTTACAGTCTGCCAAGGCTCAACATTTCTCTTTGAGAGGATGTATCTGTTAAATGATGATGATAGTAATCCCTACAATTATGTGATTAAGGCCTTAGATTTTGGAGCCAGCTTCCTAATGTTGAATCAAGATCTGCCACTTCTTAGTTGTGTGACTCTGGGTAAGTTACTTAAGTTTTCTGTGCTCTAGTTTCCTCATCCAGAAACCAGGGATATTACTACCTATTCCATAGGGTTATTAAGAGGATTGAATGAGTAAAAGAGTTGAAAATCATTTAGATGAGTGTCTGCACACAGTAAGCACCATAAAAAGAGTTTGATAAATAAATGAAAAAAAATATATATATATGTATATTCCTCAGCAATTAGTCCTCTGTGACAAGATAGCCCTACCAGGTCTTCTGCTCATTAATTTCTCTGAGGATAAAAACAAAATCAATCTCCTTCACTTCATTTTTATCATTCTTCTCAACCCTGCTAGAATGGTGTACTCTAATATTTTGCAAAGGGTGGTTCAAGTACCACTAATGAATGCAAGATGGCTTCAGGTGTATCTGAATGAATGTTTAATTCAAGAGTTAAATATTTATTTTTAACATATTTTAGAAAGAAATATAAATAGAAAATCAGACCTGTGGTTTCATATTATTGATTGGGTCAAACTAAGAAAGAGTGCGTGGAGTGACAGCGGATTTACAGAACAGTACTAAGTAAACAGTGAGTGGATGTAGTAGGGGCCCGCTATGACTGCAGTTAGGCCTGGTTTGACAGCAGCCTGGGGCGAGTGGGAGGCAGCCCACAGAGGTCTAGGCTTAGAAGGTGGGGGCTAGGTCCAGTGGGCTCTGGGATGGGTCAGGGTGGAGACACAAGTCTAGCCTAGTCCCTCAAGGCACCTGGCCCCAGCACACTGGACTTTTACCCTATTCCATACCCCGAGGCAGTATCTTGGTCTCTTCTAACTCCATTCTTCTCTTACCAGGCCAAGACATCTGCCCTCCTTACTCCCACCCCTTGCAGATAGATCCCTCTTCAGAAACTTCCAATCAGGAGTGTCCATCTCTAGACTGTAGCCAGACAATCATTACAACACCAGGGGTACCCCACCCCAAGGCAGGAACAACAGAAACAAGAATAGGTTAGAAGCAGCATAGCACTTCCCACTGTACAAAGCACTTTCACACATATGATCTCATGGCTCATCAAACCCTGAGTTCCAGGGGGAAAGTTGACAGCAAAACATGCCAGGCAGAAGAGAGAGAAGGTGCTAGCTTCCCAGAGCCGGGAGGGCCGCGGTCCTTGGTGAGAAGCCAGGCTGATGAACACTGGGGAGTAGAATGTCTCCCCTCACTCAGCTCTGGGCCTCAGCACCAAAGAGCAGTGTAGGCCTCAGGCTACCGCTAGAGAGGCAGCCTTTAGGCCTGGAGGGCCTGGGGAAGGCCTTCCCCACAGGCCTCCAGGCCCAGTGCCCAGTTAGTGTGGAGCAGGCTAGTGTGGGGGCCTCCCCCTTCCCTCAGTCCCCTGGGATTTGGGGGGTGGTGAGGGGATTGGCTAGGCTCCCCCTCCCAGGCCAGCTGCTACAGAACCTTCCGGCTCCAACATTCCATCCCCTCTTAAAGGGGAAGTCACTCTTCCAAACTCCGCCTGTCCAAAGCCCTGCAGCTGGGTGGAGGAGAAGACCCCGCCAGGGAGGGGAAGATGAACACTAAAAGACCCTTCCTGGCCCTCCCATCCAGGCTCGGAGGCCCTTTCCAAGGTCTCCCCCTTGGACACCATCTGGAGGAAAGAGGCCCCAATTCTGTGATGAAATCAGCACCTGGGCTAGTGGGGACTCCTTCTTAAGAGGTGCGGCGCTCTGCTCCCTGACAACATCCTTAACACCCCACAGGGGAGAGGGGAGACAGCAAAATAAACAACAGACCTGCAGGCCTGAGCACCCCCACCGCCGATCAGTTCAAAGACCCACAGCATAGCCCTTAGATGCAAGATACTCCAAACATGGCTCTGAGTTGTGGAGCTGAAAAGATGGAGAAGGTGAAGGCCGAGTGCCAAACACCCCAAGTCTCTGCTAGAAAGGTGGCTCCGTTGGCAGGAGGAGGGCTGGGGACCGCGCTCGAGAGTCGGCTGGAGGAGGGGGGTGTCTGTGTGGGCAGCTGGTCTCTGAGGACGTGAGCGGGCTGAAGGGACTGGAACTGGCTGCTCTTAGGGAGTTGGACCATCCCCTAAACTAGGGTGCCAAGGTCCCTCACAAGAAGGCAAAGGAGAGTCCCTAGAGGGGCTGGAACTATAGCCTCGGAAAAAACCAACAGGGGCCAAATGGCTGAGTCGCCCCTAGAATCCAACGTAGGGCTAGAAACCAGTATAGCAAGGGGAGTCCGAACCGGCTGAGTGGGCCCCTAGAAGTCGGAGGGGCCGGGGTCCCCCGGAGGCGAGGCGGGGCCATCCTCACCCGAAATCGTCGTCCATAGACTTGAAGAAGAACTTATAGCTGGGTCGCTGCAGAACGCCCTTAAAGTCCGCCAAGGTGACGCGCTCCGCGGGCAGGGGCAGCTTCACCAGGTACGGCGTCTCCTGCCCGTCCAGGTGGTAGATGATCTTCGTCT